TTAGGGGTGTTGGTATAATGTTTTCAAAATTACAAAATTTTATTTATATTGACCTAAAAGTGAGTTACAGTAAAACTAATTTATATTAATAATTTTCAATGCAAAATTCATTTACCGTCAATATGAAATCAGCAGTAATGTAATCAAAACTACAATAGTTATGTTATGTTCCCATTTTCGTGATGCGAATTAAATGATCAATTTTCTTTTTTTCAATATTGAGATTTCTATTGGATGCATGTATCATGAATAGAGTAAACGACTCTATAATTAGCAGGCCCTATGTTATGATACAGATTTGAATCCTAAAAATAAATTCAAAAGGCGTCAAAATATAAGTTGAAAGATTTTTTATTTTGAGACTGCTCTAGTTTTTGCGATATTGTACAAAGAAAAAAAAAACAAAAAAAAACGGTACTCGACAATAAATAAAGTAGGCCTAGTAGTTCTACATCAGTAGGTCGATGCATTTCTGGTTCCATTCTACACTTAGATACGGTACTGATGAGATTACATTGAAAATAGCCCCAGGCTTACGTTACTAAGATTTTCTCTATACGTTCATGCGTGCGTTGGCCGCCGAGAAAACGTTGCGATGCGGGGAAATTTTGTGTGCGCGACTACTAGCTAGACTGAACCGGGAAGCAAGAGAGCAATGCCTAAGCTAGGGCCTAAAAAATGAGATGTTATTACAAGGCCTCAGGCCTAGACTTTACAACAAAATTTGTCTGGGTCATACATGAACTAACTCTGGTACGATTCCAATTAATTTCCAATATTTATAACTCTGTAATTCCTGTAAAAAGGAAGAAATATATCTTTTTATTTTATTTTATTTTATTCTGGTTTATTCACATCGAAAACATATTTCGTGGCAACACAAAGGCTGAATTGAGAAATATTAACAAAATTCGGCATAAAAAACAATTATAAACTAATTAAAACGATTGCACTCAACAACAAATGAAAATATTAAAAAAAAAAATTGGCTAAATTTGAATTACATATCTAAAATATTCGAATGCATAACATCTAAAACAGGTTAACAACATCAATAAAAATTAATAAGGCCTAAATTTGATATTACACTAGAATTAATTAAAATTTTATTTACAAATTATTTAAATCAGATAATACACTAGAATTAAATTAAAAAAAACAAAAAAAAACAAGTCAACAACATCACCAATAAAAATTAATAAGGCACTAAATTGGATATTACACTGGAATTAACATTGTATTTACAATTATTTAAATTAGATAATACACTAAAATTAATTAAAATTTTATTTACAATTATTTAAATCAGATAATAATCACTTCACATTCATTTCAATCGTAACAAAGCACATTTGTAAAAAAGACCGATTAAGGCAATAAAAGGCAACCTCTCACTTATTAACAGTTTACAAATTGATGGGAAGGTTGACTTCTTATATCGTTCTGTACGGCAAAAATATTCATCAATTTTCCCCCATTTCTCAGTGACCTCTTACTTAGTTCACCCCTCCGTTTTCTAATTGCATTTGGCACAATATCATTAAGCGTTTTGGCAAATTTCATAAGAAGTTTTTCTCTTCTCTCATCTAATCGTGTCAAATTTAGGGCTTGTAACGCAGTAGGATATGAAACATAGTTCTGGCCAAGAATTACTTTTAAGGCTCTTTTTTGTATCATCTCTAATTCATATATTTGGTTAGTAGTCTCTTATACACATCTTTTTTGCTTCAGTATATTTAT